GTTCACATACATTTTTAAGAGTATTTTTTTTATTTCTTAAAAAAGTTTGTATTTTAGAATTAAAAAAAAAATAAAATAAATAAAGTGGGTCATCTATCTCTTCAATTTTAACCATACTTACAATAAAATCTTTTAAAACATTTTTCTAAAAATTTAAGGCAGTTCTCAGAATATTTTTTAAACAGTATTTACAACTAATGGTAAGGTATTTTTTTCAAATTTTTTAAATGGAAGTGTATTATTTTAAAATTCAAAGGTTTTAAACAAAGTATTTCTCACTTTTAAAAGGAAAAAAAAAAACGTTTGCAAAAACATTTAAATACCAAAGGACAAAACAACTCTGGGAGTCTCATCTTTCGTGAAATGATAGGTTTGAAAGAAGTAGAGTATAAATAAGACAAAAATATGATTTACACTTCAGGAATGGTTGAACTTCCATTTTAATCTTTTAAATTTTAAGTTTGTTATACTTTTATCTTCCAACTTTTAAAAAGTTGATTTTGAACTTAATTTTTCTAATGTTTATTCTAAAAAGTAACTATTTTAATTTTGATATCAATTTATCTGTATTAAATCTAATATTAGTCTTTTAACTTATTCAGGTTGAAATGTTGTTTCTATTACTACGTCAATATATCACTAAATGGTTAAATTAAAGAACATCATTAACTTATTAAATTAAAATAAACGTTAGACTAAAATCATTATTTTTTTAAAGTATATAAACTAAAAAACTTAACAAAATTTGAGGTGAAACAAGTTTGAGTTTTAAGAATAAAATAAAATTTTAAAAGTTAAAAAAAAAAATAGAATAAAGTTGAAAAGTAGGCACCATAGAACTTAAACCTTAACATCGTCCTCGCGAGATGTCGACTTTCGTATCGTAAAAACAATTCAAAAGGTATTATTCTGATTTCAAATCATTTTCGGTTTCTAACCTTTCCTAAAAAAAAAATTCAAAAGCTCATAAAAAATGGAAGAAAATAGAATACTCGAAAACAGAATCAATATACCAAACACGATCACTAACGAAGTTGAAAGAACAAAGAGCAGTTACTTCACCTGAGACGAAGCAAGCAACTCGGCCATGGCGACGAGGCCAAGCAGCGTGGCCGAAGTGCTTCCGGCGCACGCTAGCAGCAAACGCTGATGAACAGAAGAAGTTGCGGTCTCCATCGTTGTACGGTCCAGAGAACCTGCAAACAAAGAGAACGCAAAAACAACCTACACAGTTAGATCTACTCGAAATCCAGTCCAAGCAACCGCGATACCATGAAAGAAAACAATCAAACTCGTAAAACAAAGAAAGAAGAGGAAAACGAACATTGAGGCAGAATAAAAAACCTAGAATCATTTCTTACAGATCTGAAAACCTAAGTAGTAAGGCATGGAAAAAGGAAGAAGAAGAAGAAGAAGAAGAAAACGAAGACGAAGAAAATAGAGAAGAACGTAGGCGAGAAGTACCTGAAGTGCAGCAACAAAAGCTGAGCGAGGCGAGAAGTTTTCAGGAAAAAACTGAAAGAAAAGGAGAGAGAAAACAGCGGGAAAGAAGGAATAAAGAGAAAATGAAGAATCGAAAAAAAAAAAAAAAAAAAAAAAAAGGANGCGGAGAATCAATGCAGTGTGAAGCGAAAAAGAAAAATGAAGAGAGTGTGACAGTGTGAGTGAGTGAGTTTTGAATTTGCGACGTGTTTTATTTACAGCCGTTGGATTTGATTGCGTTGGAGAGAGCGAGAAGATGAGGGTTAAGGAGATGGTGGGAATAGAATAAGAGCATCACTTTATTTTTCATATAATAGAATATATTCTTCCCATCCTTTCATATCCTAAAACATCTCCTCTTTTTATGTACACATAGTAATGAAACTCCCCATTCAAAATTATCTCAAAATTATCTCCAGGCCCATTACCAGCTGCCCCGGCCCATTACTAACAAAAGGAATTCCTAACCATTGGGCCCAAGATGGCCCATCTTTTCGTTTCCAAGGCATGGAGCAGACCCATAGTTGTGTGAACTTATAAACGGGCTCGGATAATTTTTTAAAAAAATATATATGAAAGGCAATAATTTTGTGGGGGACTGAAAGCGATGGAGTTATTTATAAATTAGGGTTTTGGGTGGCAAATGCATCACTCTTAACTTTAACATCAAAAGGCTTGCTCCCTTTTTCCTCCCTTTTTCTCTTTTGCTTTATTTTCTTTCTTTGGATGCATTACCTTACCTTACCTTATGTGTCTTCTCTTCCTATCTCTTAACTTACTCAATTATTTGGCTCTTCCTTAAGTAAGAATCAATCTAAATTTGTTTACTTTATTTTATATATAAATAAATGCATGTTTTTTTTTTTGTTTTTTTTTTTTTATTAAAAAAAGATATTCTCCTATCGATAATATATTAAATGATGTAAAATTGATTGCTAAATTCTCAATGGATTTGTTAAAAAATGAAAAGGAATGCAAAATCAAACACAAAACTCTCAATTACTTGGCTCTTCCTTAGCCAGGAATCTAATAAATAGGTTTTCCTTATTTAAAATAAAAAATAAAAAAAAAAAAAAACTTTATTGAGACCACATGGAGACAACACAAATAGGAAGAATTTTTTAAAGAAAAAGCAAATCCAATGGTTGAGAGTGTTTCCTTCTCTTGCACCACCAAATACAACATTCCAAGAATACATTGCATTTTCACACCTCTTTAGCTCTCTGTTTATTAATTAATTAATTAACCTTATTTACTGATCTTAATGGATTATCGGTCTTAATGAATTAATAATATTAACGATGTATGGTAGTTTAAATATTAATTTAAGAAAAAAACTGAAATGGTAGTTTTTAATAAATATAGAAAAAAGCTAAAATGGGTAATATATTTTCTTGTTGCTAACATTATTGTATAAAGCAATGGTGAAATTCATTATCACCTTTGCCATATTCTATATTAAACCAAAGATATCAAAAGATTCTCTCTATAAATTTAAGGAGAGAGACAGGTAGATTCTCTAGTGTTTTCTTGGTTTAATAATGCAAGTGTTTATTTTTAAGTATTATAACACACAAACCTTACTTTTTCTTCCCATTTTCATTAAAATAAAATGTTACGCTTTCGGATAGATAACAATTTAGTTCATAAACTTCAGTAAAAAAAAAAAAAAAAAAAATCAATATACATAGTTTAATGATTATAATGTTACCGCTCAAACACATCGTTGGTGGATATTGTTTGGTTTAATAAAGTTTAATAAGGTTTGGAGTAAATTAAAAAAAAGGAGGAATTAGATTAGAATAAAAGAGTGAAGTGTTTAGGTGTGTTGGACATTGTTTTGTGTGCATTATGAAATCCGAAGCAAAATAAAAAGCAAAAGAAGCATGCTTTTCTCTGCCTCGCCTTTTCCTTTTCCTTTTCCTCCAAAAGTGGACGTCTCTCCAATTTTTTCTTTTTCATTTTTGACGTAATCTCTGCCTCCCCCAGTCTCCCATCCATTTTTGCTAATTATTTCTTTTTACTAAATCAAATTATTAAAATAAATTCAACTTATTAAATTGTAATTTCTAAACCAATTCGCTGCTAAATATATTACGAAAAATTATAAGAAAATTGAATCATGGTTAGTGATGTAATTTTCAAATATATGAATCTTAAATTAAATAAATAAATAATATTTGCCAATTATACAATCAATCATTACCTCGGTTTCAAAACAACAGAGTATCTTTATATTTATTTTTTAATGCCTTATTTATTGCTTGTAGAAACAACAATAAATAATAATTTTATATAATTAATTTTCGTTTCTTTCTTTATGTATTTGTGAACTGTTAAATGTAAATTATTAATTTGTGAAATGTTAGGTCAATCAATAGGTAGGTTTTTTTTCAATTTTTGAATTGGATTAGATTTGATTTGGTTATTTGGATTAAATTTGATTTAATTATTTGAATTAGATTGAGTTATGTAATGCTGTATAATAGCCCATTTTATTCATGGATAGGCGGCTCAAATTTCCAAAATATGAAATAAATTATCATATAAATCTTTGTACTATTTTGTCACACTTTTAATATACATATTTACCTTGGAAAATTAGCCTTTTCCTTTTCCTTTTCAATTTTTTCATTTTTTAATAATTATTTATCAATTAAAATTGCACTTGAAAAGAAACAAACACATAAAAGAAAAAAAAAAAAAAAAGAGGAAAAAAAGAAGAGAAAAAGATAGGATGGTGGACAAGTCAGTCTAAATATAGATGGAAAATGCTTTTTCATCCAATAAATGCACGAGTAAACTTTTTTCATCTTATTTAAAAAGAAAAAAAAAATGAAAATTTTGGTCCATTATTTCGGTCATAATTAATATTTGTTCTTCAAGTTTCAAACGAATTGGAGCATCTCCCTTTTCTTAGTTCAAGCTTTTATATATTTCCAGAGACGGTGTTTAAAATGGAAAAGAAAAAAGAAAAAAGAAATGGAATCCATTGATGGGATTGATTTGGGATGAAGTTGACAGTCAAACATGGTGCCATTTTTATTTTTTTCTTTCAAGTTAATATCTGATATTATTCATTCGTTTAAGAATATTACATCATCAGAGTGGAATAACAATGCCCCAGTGAAGCAACAGACGAGACGTTTTTCCAGTGAATGAAAATCAAGAAAATATTGTTAGCAGTTGACAAAGGATTCAATCCCCATATTCTCTTTTCGAACCTTCAATTTTAATTGTTAATGGAAGCGCTAACAGCTTCCTCTTGTTCATCAATGGCGGCCTTAGCTTAGAGAGAATTGAATGAACGAACTAATGTTTAATTAAAGCTATGCTTAATCACCCAAAGTGTAATTTACTTTAGTTTTTAATATAAATATATTTCTTAATTCCTCCCCCACATATATAATAAACTATCCTTCTCTTTTGGAACCCAAATCTTAGTAATTGGGGTATTAGGGGGGGATTGAGGGTTTTGTGCGAGAAGCTTCAAAAGCTCCGAATCTATGGCGGAAATGGATGGTTCATTTGATGTTATAGAAGAGTTGACGAATACCCTAATAAGGCTGGGCCCAGTATGAAAGGGCTCCACAGGGGGCGGTTTTAGAAGTTTACTCCAAAAAGTTATCTGCAGGCTTGGTCATCGAGATCAACCTCGGGACTGTAGATGCCGGAAATGACGACGTCGCCGGAAAGACAACCGTAGGGTAAGCAAATTGCGTAGTTTAAAGCGGAATTATTGAGGGTTCGTCTATCTGATTTATATATATTTTAATCCTTGGAGAAGAAAAAAAGGCGAAAAAGGAATCCGCGTAGTTGCAATGGCTACGGCAGCTCCACCCTGCCATGGTGGGGAGTGAGGTCATAACGACGTTAACAGCTGATTGACAGTAGCATTAGAGCTAAAAAACAAAGAGGAAAAGGAAGAGAGAGAGAGAGAGAGAAGGGGCGGATGAAGCAAAAGTTAAAAGGAAAGTTGTATATATAAGTTAGGTTGTGTATCATTTTTTATTTTCCATTGTTGAGTTGCTTTCTTGTTCTTTGTGTTTCTTTCCAACTCACAGGGAAGTGAATGAGCGAGGAACTGCATTTCCTCTCTATTTTATTATATTTTGAAGGCCGCATCGTTTTCACTCCTTGTTTCATCATCTGCCCACTATTTCAGACCTTCCTCTGCTCATTTTCAACTGTTCTTACTCTCACACTCAGGTAACCTTGTGTTCTTCCTCCTATTCTTCTCTGGGTTTGGATTGCTTTCCAGAATTGAATTTGGCCCTTTCTTCTTCCTGCTGTGCTGCCTATCTTCTCGTGCCTGTTACTGCTTAGAATTACACGTTTGGCTCTCTTTTTTGCTTGTTTCTAAGTGAGTTTTGTGGGAGAAACTGATGGGAATTTGAAGTGTTGTGTTCATAATTCAGTTGAATTTGATTCGTGATTAGAAACCCAGTTTTCAATTTTGTTTTGGAATGAAGGTAGGGGGATTAGAAATGTGATAGAAGCTACGGAATGATCAGCTTTGTAGTTCACTTATATCAATTATTCTGTATGACCGACATACCTTTTTCGAAGTTGGAAGATGTCTGTATTGTCTTACTTTTTCACTTCTTACATTTGTTTCTCTTTTCCATCTTTTCAGTCCATTTTACTCTTATGATTGGTCAGCAGAGTATGAGCTCTTCATCAGCTCAGCTCTATGCATCAAGGATGGGCATCTATGAGCCATTTCACCAGATCAACTCATGGGGTAATGCCTTCGGTACTCGACTCGATACCAGCATATCGCCTATTATAAAAGTGGACGACTGTGTAGACAATAAAGTGAGAATACTCTAAATTGGGTCTTGTTAGAAAATCTGAGTTCCAAGGTTGTTCTCTTGTTGTTGGATTCTGGTAATTTTTGTTTCCTGACTTTGTAGCCTGAGTTCGTTCCTTTCGAATCGATGGATCATCACGAGAGCAGTCAAGAAACGAACAAGCCAGTTGATGATAAGGTGAATAGAGTCCAAGCACGCTCTCTCTCTCTCTCTCTCTCTCTCTCTCGTGTATAATCTTCATTTCCTTTGTTCTTTTAATCCTTTTTGCACTAAATTCTGTGTACATCATCCTATACACATATGCAGGTACAACGACGTTTAACACAAAATCGAGAAGCAGCTCGTAAAAGCCGTATGAGGAAAAAGGTGCTGAAAGACAATCATCTGTACAAGTTTTTGTTGATATCTGATATATGATTTGAGGACTTATTGAAGTTTGTCTTGCAGGTTTATGTACAGCAGTTAGAAACTAGCCGTTTGAAGCTGGAACAGTTAGAGCAGGAGCTAGAAAGAACCAGACAGAAGGTAAGATGGAATGGAGGTGTGAGATCCCACCTTGGTTGAAGAGAGGAACAAAGCATTTCTTATAAGGGTGTGGAAACCTCTCGCTAGCAGGCACGTTTTAAAAACCTTAAGGGGAAGCCTGTAAGGGAGAACCCAAAGAAGATAATATCTGCTAGCGGTGGGCTTGAGCTGTTACAAGAGGTCATCTTTTCTTACACGGTCTCTATTGCTTATCCAATTAAAACACGAATTCTTTGTTGCAGGGTGTATACACAGCAAGCTGCTTAGCAGATACCAGCCACTTGGGATTCAGCAGATTGGTAAACCCAGGTTTGTGATTCCATGTCTAATAAATTAGAGCTTTCATTAACCAGTTGAGCTTACATGGAAGGCTTAGCCTTCCTTCGTTTCTTTATTGTTCGACTAAACGGCTTCCTAATGTTAACACACTTCCATTGTTCGTGAATCGAACGGCAGAAGGTCTTTATTTCTCTGGTTCCAATCTGAGATTTGTGGTATTAACTTCCAGGGATTGCTGCATTTGAGATAGAATACAATCACTGGGTTGAAAAGCAAGAGAGACAGATCACTGAACTCAGAAAGGCATTGCAGCAAGTTCATATAACAACTGATACAGAACTCCAAATTTTAGTGGAAAGCGGCTTAAACCATTACCATAATCTGTTTTGCATTAAAGCCAATGCTGCAAAGGCTGATGTTTTCTATTTAATGTCTGGTGTATGGAGATCATCAGCAGAGCGTTTTTTCCTGTGGATTGGAGGATTTCGGCCATCGGAGCTGCTAAACGTAACGACTTACCTCACACTTGGCTCGATCTTGAACCGTTCTTTTTGGTTATATTAGAGGCATGTTATGCTATGCTATGTTATGTTATGTTACGTTTTGTTTTGTTTGATACGTGGGAACAGGTGCTGACGCCATACTTTGAGGCATTAAATGAACAACAACAGAGCGCTATCCACAATTTGCAGCAGTCGTCTCGGCAAGCTGAAGACGCGCTCTCACAGGGAATGGAAAAACTGCACCAGAATCTATCCCTCAGCATTGCCAGCGATCCTATAGGAAGCTATATTTCTGAGATGGGCGATGGAATGGAGAAAGCAGAAGCATTGGAGAGCTTGGTAAGGCAGGTATGTAATGTAATGCATATTCTTCTCATTATGGACTGATCTTCATCCTAGAGTATGATGATAAGTGAGTTTTTTGGTTTGATCCCGATCCCGAACCCGAACCCTCACTTGTTCAGCCGAGTGTGTGCTACTCTTTTCTGGAACAGGCAGACCATCTGAGGCAACAAACTTTGAAGAGAATGTCCCACATCCTAAGTACCAAACAAGCGGCGCAAGGGTTGCTCGCTTTAGGCGAGTACTTCCACCGTCTCCGTATTCTGAGCTCCCTCTGGGCCACTCGACCTCGTGAACCTGCGTAGCCATGGCCAGGGAAGGGTCAGACATGTTATGTTCCAGTGACCCAGCATATAAGCCAGATTATATACTATACTTGTGCCTCTTCTCTATGTAGAAAAGGGATACAAATCCTGATAATACAAGTTCCACTGCTACCCACATTTTAGTAAGCCACTTTTCTGGTTTTCGGAATGTAAATATCTTATAACAGCTTTGTTCATTAATTTTATCTATTTTTCTCACATCTCGCTTCTAGGTACGGTCATAATTCCATAATATTTATTTATTTTTATTTATGGAACGTTATTAAAAAAAAGAAAAATTACTTTAAAAAAAAAAAGTTTTAAGTAACATAAACTTCATATATAAATTGGTAATTTATAAAATCCGTCATAAAACAGAACCACTTTCACTTTAAAATATTTATTTTTACAATTTTATTTAGCCAAAAAATTAATGGTAAAAGTAAATTAATTTAAATATATGATGTAATTTTTGTGTTAATTCGTCCTTTAAATAAATTTATTATAGTTTATAATTTCAACAAAAATAATTAGTTTAATGTCTTTTTTATTTTTCAATTTGTTATAATTCTTTCAGTTAAAATTATAACACTTTTTAATGTTTAAGATTAGGATTACCACACCAATCTAGGGTTAATTTTGATTATTTTATAGCAAAATTAATTTTTTTTTTCTTATATTTATATATACAAATACCATTTTTTAATAATAATTTTATAGTTGAATTTTTAAAATGCTAAAGTATTGCATAAATGGTCTTAGTAATGGATTTTGGTTTTCAATTTTGTTTAAGATTTTAGGGGAAAAATTATGATTTATTTTATTTTATTTTTTATTTTTACGGAAATAGAATATATTTTTAAAAATTGAAAATAAAAGAAATAAGGAGTAAAAAACTTAGTTGAGAAAATAAACATTAAAAACAAAACGAAATGAATCAAACTTGGAGATTTGGCATTACAAGGAACAGCTGCTAAAAGTAGAGGGTAGAAAAGTATCAAAGGCAGGAGAACGATAGAGATGATGATCGTCAAATTGAGCACTGTGAAGATGCAGAGATCATGGCAAGTGCTGGTGCTTGTCCTCCTTTCACTCTTATCACTCCCATCCTCTTCCTTTTCGAGCGCAGAGCTGCCGCCTACGGCGGATGGAAAGGTGTTGGAGCTCGACGAATCCAATTTCGATCTCGCCATTTCATCATTTTCTTACATATTGGTCGACTTTTACGCCCCATGGTGCGGCCACTGCAAGCGTCTTTCTCCAGAGGTTCCTTATTCCCCTCATATTCTCTCTTCCATTTTTTAGATTATCCTGCGTATTGATACTCTCAATTGTATATTTCGCCGACATAGTTTGATTTCATTCCGGAATCCAGATTAGTGTTGAGGATTTGTAGGTAGAAGTTTCTTTATAAATTTATTTAGGCATCATAGACTCCCAGTTTGTAGATTATGACACTTTGCTCTGCGATACTATCACTAACAAGCTTAAAAATCTCTCTATTTCCTTTGATTGTCAGCGATTGGGAATTTACTTGTAAAGTTCTTTACTAGTGTTCTTGGCTGTCGGTCTGCTTAGCATGGTTCATTATTTGTACTGCGAATGTTACTCTGCAGCCATTCTGAGTATGCATTCTTTTCTTATCTTAATTTTTTTCTCCGTTTGTGTAGTTGGACGCTGCTGCACCTCAGCTTGCCAAATTGAAGGAGCCTGTAGTTCTAGCAAAAGTGAACGCTGACAAGTTTACTGGTCTTGCTAAAAAATATGACGTTGAGTATGTCACTGATTCCTATTCATATGTCCAATGTAATAAACTATGTTAGTTTATTTGCAATAAGTTTGGAGTTTAGTTGTGCCTTTTTGTACGAATCTCCAGGAGACCGTTCCCCTGGTATTCATTAGCAAAGGGGAAACCATGATTCTCCTCTAACTACATTAACATATATTTCTTTTGTAGTGCCTATCCTACAATCAAGATCTTCATGCATGGCATCCCAGCAGACTATTATGGACCAAGGAAAGCGGAGTTAATTGTCCGTTATCTGAAGAAATTTGTTGCTCCAGACGTCTCAATTCTTGAGTCGGACTCATCAATTAATGAGTTTGTTGAAGCTGCAGGGCCTTACTTCCCTATCTATTTGGGATTTGGTTTAGATGAGTCTGTTATTTCTAAATTCGCTATTAATTACAAGAAGAAGGCCTGGTTTTCAGTGGCAAAGGGTTTCTCAGAGGATATCATGGTGTCTTATGATTTTGATAAAGTTCCTGCTTTGGTTTCTATCCATCCAAGTTACAACAATGAACGGAGCATTTTTTATGGTCCCTTTGAAGGTTGGTTTGTCTATCAACTACCCTAATCTATCAAGTTACCTAGATTGTTTAATGTAACAGTTACTTAATTTCTTGAATCTGGCATTAGAAGTTTACATTCTTTTGAATGTTTCATGCATCGTTGATAGGAATGTTAGTATTATTTTTGCACTGGCTAAGTAACTTGTTCAAGGAAAAAGTTGGAACTCTAAAGAATTTTCCGGAAGGAACATATGTGGCTTGGAGGCTTATGAGATCAGAGATTATTGATATTTATATGAACTCTTAAAGAAGCTAAGTTCCCAACTGCTTGAATTCTGATCTGTTGCTAGGCCTGCTTGAGTTATTACCATTTCCTTGAACATCCCAGTAACATTTCTTGTACGTGTAGTTGTGTATATATAGAACTTCAGGTGCATGAACGTTCATCTTTCAGGGATTAACTCTCTGTCGTTGATATGTTATGTACTCTAGATAAAATGGTTTAAGTCTTTCTTTTTGAACTGTACAGAACAATTCTTGGAGGAATTCATAAAACAAAGCATGCTCCCTCTCGTTCTGCCCATAAACTACGACACTCTTAAGCTACTAAAAGATGACGAGAGGAAAATAGCGCTCACAATTGTGGAGGATGAGGATGATGACCAGACAAAGAATTTAATCACTTTATTAAAGGCTGCTGCATCTGCAAATCGCGAATTGGTGTTCGCTTATGTTGGGTCTAAACAGTGGGGAGAATTTACTGATTCATTTGGAGACAAGAAGACCACACTGCCAAAAATGGTCATTTGGGATGGGAAAGACGATTACTTAATGGTAAGTCCTCTTTGAAGGCAAATGATACTGTATATCATGTTCATTAAATCATTTCGATTTAGATTTTGACATCCATATGTGATAACGTTCAATAATAACTCCTGCATGTATCTAGTCGAAGAAACAAGTTTTCTTTAATAGGTTTAATGATTTTGAAAAAATTATTTACTCAAGTTCCACTAAATTGTGCAGCAAGATGAGTTTTTCTCAAATATCTGAACCGTAGCATTGAGTTTCAAATGAGATTAGAAGTAGTTTGCTATAGCTTTAGACAGTGTAGAATTAATATTCTTCAGCCTATCTACTCAGCTCGCTATTGTTCACAGGAGAAAAATAGTTATTTTTTAGAGGATTAAGTAGACATAGCTAATAAGGAACCAGAACCAAAGCTTGAATGAAAGCAATTTCCTTTTAGGAAATTATATTGGATTCTCCTTGGAAAGCTGAAAAGGCAGAGCCCGTGGTAAGTAGTTCAATAAAGAGTTTCATTGAGGTTCGATTAAACTCAGAAGATTGTAACCATGGTCCAACAATGATATTTGCATTGGCAAATGGCACGAGGTTGCTGTCCTTTTCACCTTCTTCAAGGGACAATATATGTTAGGTTATTTATAAGTCCTTTTCACCTTGTTAAGGCTTTGCTGGGAGTTGGAGATCCAACCAAGCTAGACTCTACATCTACAGTGCGTTGCTGTCCAGTGTTTAGAAAGTCTACCCAAATTGAAGATAGAATGCTATTGAGTATAGGAAACATTTTTTTCATTCCTTCCCAGGAGGTCAGTAAAAAGTTAGGAATCCTCAAGAAATTCATTTTTTAGGAGTTGAAGCCGTTCTGATAAAAAACAGATGAAGTTGCGAAAGTGAGAGGTAGAGTTAGTCCAAAGGTGATGTTATTCTTATATTCTGTACTCTTCTTACTAAGATGGTAGTACTTCTGTTGCTCCGCAAGTACTAGGATTTATATGGTTTTTGGCTTGGTTTAAAACAGACTATAGTTCTAAAGATTCTTTATACTAGATTAGGCTTAAAACCACTCGTACTGACATAGTCAAATGAGTGTTTTCTCGTTTTTTCGAAGAGTAAAGGGTCAGCTTTTTAGATGATGTTTCTGTCAATACCCTTATTGATGAAGAATCAGTTGATTATCCGTAGAGCATTTCTGTTCCTCTTTCTTCCTGGAGACGACTATTCTAGTCTAGATCTGAAAGAACCATTTATAGTTCACAAGCTGAATCAAGTGAAATCATGGAGACTATGCTACTGTGAGATATGAGGATTAGTACTAAAAGAAAGTTTTAAAGAAATCCAACTGCTGTTATTTCTGTTATTATCACTCCATCATATGCATGGCTGATTGATGGATATTCTTTTGCCACTCCGTTGGCCTTAGTATGGTAATTTCCTTGTATGTCATTCATCTAATAAATTATTCCTTATCATTACAAAAAGTCATTGACATTTCTTGTTTATGAATCTGATTGAGTGTTTGATCGTTGATGAAAATATTCATACGTTTACATTCTATACTAGCTGTGAAGTTGGCTCTAGAATTAGAAGACTACAATTTTTCTTAACATATGCATCGCGTAATTTAAAATGCATTACTGACATTTTTAGACTACATTTCATTCAAATAAAATCCCAAAGAAACATGAACGAGCATAGCATACTGTGGGAGTTAAACTTCTGTTGTTGTGTTTGATAGGTTACTGGTTCAGAGAGCATCATTGGGAACGACTATGCATCTGAAATCTCAAAATTCATTGAAGGATACAGGGAAGGGAGAACTGAAGAAAGAAGAGTAGCGGGTCCTGCAATTATTGGCTTCATAAGTTCACTCATGGGCATCAGGAGTGTATACATCATTGTAATTATTGTTGCAGGAATAATGCTTTACAGGACCAAAGATGACAATAACGAATATCGCAGAGTCGATACTCCTGCTCGAGACCAGGTTGACCAAACTAGCAGCTCTAGCTCACATGTTGAAAGGACTGAATATAGGGCCAGTGACAAGGAAGATTGAATGTGGATTTTGGTGAATTTGTCATTAGCAGGACCTTTGAACGGCCTAGAAAAAGCAGACATGGCAAGTGATGAAGTTATCTTGGAAGCGATGGCTGTGAAATAACTGATGAAATGTGTAATTTGGTGATCAACTCCGAAGCACCGTTTAGCCTCTGCGAAAGAGAGCAGATATTTATTAATGTATGCTCTTCTGCTTGGTTACCCTTAGATTTGGGCTCAATTGAATCGACTGCTGCAATTCACTTCCACTTTTCATCATGCTTACTCTTGTAGGTAACGGCAGCCTTTTTCTTTTTTTCCTTTAATATTTGGAAGTATCCAAATCAGATTCTCTATAATATTCGACTGTTAAAGAAAACTCATTGTTGATATCCTTAATGGTATGCTTCTATTAATGTGTTACAGCATCTTGCTCGTAGCCCCGTCCCCCCACCTAAAGAACACCCTATATCTGTCCCCTCTGCCTATTTCATTTCCGTGAAAGGGAATGGTTTAGAGAGAATTTTAAGAAACTAATCATCCGGTGAACTAAAAAAGTAGACAAAAAAAGGCAAGAAGATTCTCGCGAGAGGAAAGGCAGAAGCCCCCTGGATCAACTAATCTTGTTTAAATGGATCCATGGCGCCTCCAGCAATGGTAGGAGAGAGAAGCGTTATAATACAAACTTGCCGGGTTAGCTGTTAAACTAAGTTTCCGGTGTATCTATCCCACAATTCATGAAAGAATTCCAATCCCACCCCCACAAGAGTACACTTTGCTTTACTTAAATTTTAGAAACCTCTACAGCATGACCACAAATGAAACTTCAAAGCTAAAAGAAAAAAAAATGGAGCAATCGTATGAAATAATATACAATGATGCCGGCCAACCAGGGTGGTTTCAGACACGATCAAGGACTAAGGAATTGATTTACATACCAAATGTTGCATAATTCAACCATATCTCCCCCCACCCCTCAACCCTCTACAAAGAGAGGGCTGCATATATCTCTGCACAGACGATTCTCGATGCTCCCGTGTCAGCATTCAGGAAGAGACTGAGCCGAAGCAAACGGAGAAAAGCTTGCAGCTGACCCGCTGCAATGCAAGGGATTATGTTGATGACTGGAAGAACCAATAATGCTGGGTGAGGCATTGCTTGAACTTGGAATGAGCGGAATCATGTATCTTGAATGTAAAGGTGACATGGATGGGTAACATGAGGAATACGGAGAAACCAAATGAGAAGCATAAGATCGTTGGGAAGATGCATTTCTGAGTTCAACTGAACTTCTACTTATGCTCAAGGATGAAGATTGGTGGTGGGAGGATCTCAGAGACTGCCGAAGGTATGGGGTGCTTGAGAGAGAGTGGTTCTGAGATACTGATGGCGATCTAGATGATGGGGATATTTGAATGGCAGAGCTTGGTGGTAATGATGATCTCACAGAAGATAATATCGAGGATGAAGCAACAGAGCTGGGAGCACTTGAAAGCAATGGCGTGGATTCTGAAGGTGGTGGATCACCGGTGCTCGTTCTAGCATCTCGCTTGCAGACTGGACAGAAGGTTCTCCAAGCAGTAAGCCATGAGTCCACACAGAGAGCATGAAATTCTAAAAATCAGCTCCAAACGTTAGTTAGGGCATATGTACGAAACACATGCAGGTAAAGGTATGCATGTAGCCAGAGTATTGCATACCAAAAGAACAGAGAAGGGGAAAAAATAAGTACATAACCACCACCTATGCAATTTTGATCCTGCAAGCTCAGGGTCAAAGGAAACTACTACAGTTCTGTTTGCTAGTTACTACTGAAGTGTGTGTGTGTGTGTAAACAAACAAAGTGTAAAACGCAACAACCTAAGGGCCAGAAGAGAAACCCAAGATAAGTTGACATCTAATTACATTAAGTTTTTTCATTGAACCTTCCGCAAGGTATGTTGGAATCCTTAATGTAGCAATTTCATATAGCATGGGCCTTTGACAGAGATGCAAAGTTTCTCGAGGCTTGAGTAGGAACAGATTCGGAAGACAAGAATTCCGTGGACATATGTATTTAAGGCCTTATGTCAGATAACATACTTCGAAAGGAATTGTCACATTTTAATGGAACAGACTGACGATAGGATGAAATTCTTTACTTTGAAAAGTTTCTCTTTTCTTATGGGAGTTGATTCTCTAGCTTTCTTTTTAGTTATACTTCTCTTGAAACTAACACAAAACGGGAAGTTTTTTTTTGAAAGATTATAAGAATTTTCCTTTTTGTTCATTTTTTTGCTAATTCAAAGAAAACATTCGATTTCCTTTCCCCAAAAATATGTGCATATATACATAGGAAGTTGGTTAATCAGGCCCCCACAGCCCTTGCTTTAACCAAGGCAGCATCGCTTTATCACTCTCCACTTCTATGCAACTTTGTTTATTCCAATTCTATCTCTTAATTTACTTATATTAAATCAACCATATATCCTGCTGGTGTGATTTTGCAATAAGGAAAAAAAAGGTACATTTACGTTACTCAAACATTGAAATCAGGAAATATCTTCACTCTCCAACCTTTATTAAACGGCAGACAAACCAATGAACCAAACATTAGTTTCTGGCTGGCAAGCAAGCTGCTGCCTAGTCTTCCAACAACTAAGTTATCTTAACCATTAATCGAGGCCTCTAAATCCAATTATCTGCTCCTTAATTAGTCCTCATAAAGTAGCCTAACGGGGTTTAAGAACACTCTTTTCCAACCATAACCAGGGTTGATAAAGCTACTCTAACCTATTTTTACCTATTTTGAACTATTAAATTTGTTTGGGTAAATGGTGAAATAGTACTGTACTCGCAAAGTCATATCATTTTGGGATTTTACTTTTCTAAAGAAAGCAAACGGCTTCAGATCATGATAGGTGGTTGTCACATGAATTAAATAAAGGAGACTAAACTGCCTTCATAAAATTATAACATTTCTAACTTGTTTGGACAATTTAAACTGGACTTGTGGCAATGATTTAACTAGACACTGATAACTACTACCTTGATGATTTATATTAATTCCTACAAAAAAAAAAAAAAAAAAAAAAAAAAAAAAAAAAAAAAAAAAAAAAAAAAAAAAAAAAAAAAAAAAAAAAAAAAAAAAGCTACTCTTTTTGCTTTAAGGAGTTAGAGTTCATTTATTATATACCAGATTCCCAAACGTTGAACCCCTATGCTATAAATGGAAAAGAAAGAAAAAGGAAGAAAGATTGATCACACCATTACAGGTTCTCTGCAGCACAAATTGCAACTAATATCCCTACAAATGAAAGATAGATGCATAACAAGGAAATATCAACTTTAGAATAAAGGAGTGAACTTACTGTGACGACATGGTAGAATTCTCAGCTTCTCACCAGCAGTATAGTCCTCAAGGCATATGGCACACGTGACGGAAGTACAATTATCCTCTAAAGCAGTTGTAAATATCAGACTTGGCATTGCTTTTACTACACGTCTGCTCATGCCTCGAAACTCTTGAGCATGAGAAGATCGAGGACGTCCTTGTCTTATTCTATGTCTACGAACGAAGAAACAAGTAGCAAGCACTGCAGACATTGCAAGAAGAGAAATAAAGGAGATAGCCATGATGGACCATGCAGAGTTTTCAAAGCTTGGAACTATCCATATCTCAACATTAGCCAAGCCTGAATACTTCTTCAATGTTTCACCGGATGATTTAGTAACAAATACAGCATGTATTCTAATACCAGCCGAGCTCCCTGCCACTGCAACCAGGAAATATTCAAGCAAGCGATAAAATTTGTCTTTGCAGAACAGTGCATAAAGCAGCTGATCTTCAAAAATTTACTCTAATGCATCCATGCGATAAATGTTAACTAATAATTACCAGGTATGGACATCCATATCAATTAACAGAGTAGAAAAACCAGGGAAAAGTAGAAGTGCAACTTATAATTACCAAGTAAGGACGTAAAGTTTAGATTGATAAAGCAATAAAATAAAGATGATAAACAACTTCTACAATCAAATCCACCAACCACATGATAGCCTACATCCAGGATTCCGGTGATTCCCATAGCTCACATGCAAACATTGATTGCTGAATTCGGGTATGAAAGGACTATAATTCAATTATTACATGAGAACTCTAGTTGATGAGCAGGTTGTTTGATCTTCTCTAGTTTATCAATTATTCCAAAATATAAAACTAAGACATAGTAAGGCCAAGACCAAGACCATTCCATGATTAAAAAACATTGAAAGGGCATTTGATCATGTTGTTTGGGCTCATCTAGACAAAAATCCCTTAGAAAAAGATGTTATGGTTTTAAGTGAAGACCTTGGATGGACAATACCTGCTATGTCAATTTCTCCAAATAAAAATTATGCAAATCTTGGAAGTATTGTTTGTTAAGAAAGTATTTGTAACTAAAATTATTCGGAGTTCGAAAGTACATAAGTAAATCATTAAAGCACAAATACACTACAAGTAAATTGAATGGCTGCAGAAAGCATAGCAACATAGACATGGTTAAAATGCATAAATCGTATAGAAAGTAATCCACTTCCATAAACGGAGAATGGGCATGAAGTTAATAGTGTAAAAAGTCATTACTCGCAATCAGGCCACCACCATCTTCATTATCATAAATGATTGCAGCTTTAAATCCAGCCATTTGGGCTCTCCTCACTTTATCCTCGAAGCTACATCCTCCTCTAATTATAAGCGCAAATGGTGAACTAGAGTTTACAGGCAGCGCAGTATTACTTTCCAATGTCGAGCATGCATCAAGAGGTTTAGCCAGATACAGCACACCGGGTTCCCCTGGGCTGCCTATTGCAGGAGCTGAAATCAAATGCCAGAAATCAATAATAGAATCCAGTATGGCGATTTAAAAAAAAAAAAAAAAAGGCGAAGAAAAGAAAACTGAACCCATATTGCAATCTGTATTACATATATTCGACTCGCCTCCCTCGTTTTTCTTATTGGATAACCATATCCGATTCCTCTTCTCAAAACACAATAGCATCCCAAATCACCTTTTAATATTTGACAGAATCTTAAATCATAAAATTATTGCATATTAACAGCAGAATCCATGAAGTGAACCACATCGCCTGTTGGCAAAAGTCACGGCGAGTAGTGATGACGAGAGCACAGACATTCAATCCAGTGCCCGACTCAGACAGCACTCACCGACACACAAAACAATTGGCTGGGCAAAATTTTCAAATGAAACGAGAGGGCGAAGGGAGAAAAAGAGAGCATAAACAAAACTAACCGAAATTAGCTTCAACGGAATCGAATGAAAGAGTGACGTTGGTCCCAATCAATACCACATTAGCTGCGCAGCCGCAAGAACCAACCAAAAGAAGTGAAAACAACAACGCGAGACCTGGATTCATAGCACTTAAAGCCATGGACCGAAAAACCCTAACCGGTTGAGAGAGAAAAATGGGAGAGAATTGGGATTGAAAAGGAAATTACGGGGTTTAGAAAATATCAATGGAAACATCAGCTTCCATCTCTCAGAAGAAAATCTTGGTTTCTTTGATTAGCTGGGATAAATCCTCCGAGATTGAATATTGAATTTGCTTACTCCGAGCGACGAGAATACGGAAACAATGAAGAATATGATAATTATAATAAAAAATAAGAACAAATTGCAGAAAACTATTATGTATAATATTTCATCCTCTTCTAAATGTATAATAATAATAAATAATAATAATAATAAACCGACAACAAAAATTAAAAATACTGACCATTACTATAAAACAATAGCTGGTATTTTGTTTGCCCAAACTTAAAACAATTTAATATCTTTCTTTATTTAGTTAGATAAAATTAATTTATCTATTATAGAAACGCATGTAATGTCGTGAATTGTAATGATTCGAATTTTCTTTGTTTGTAAGGAATTTATAAATGAGTATTAAATCTCATTTCATGTTTATCCGATTCCAAACCGACCAACTAACGAAAGGACTCGCTCCTTCCTCTCTTGGACCAGGCCCATTAATTATTTTTATTTATTTGTAATTATATTTTAAATACAAACCTAATTTAATATACTATCTCTTTTTTTTAATTTAAGAATTTTTGGGACGAATAGGATGGATAATTTAAGAATATAGGGTTGTTAAAGAGGTTAGGTTGCTGACTACTAGAGCAATGCGAGTTCACAACCTAACTCAACCTTGTATGTTCGATTGCATTATCAAGAGGTTCCTTTTTTTATTTATATAATTATGTTTAGAATACACTACCCATCCTTACTAATAAAAATCTTATAAATTTTGAATATCAAACATCACCGACGTTACAACCATCAAATGTTTTTAATTTTTATAATACTTGTAAAATAGAATTAGATTAGGTTAACCCTGTTTTCAATTTGATCGGAGTTATGTCACTCACAATGAATTGACCTAATTTTCGTTTAAAAAAAATCAACCCAATGTACCGCTTAGGTTGGTCAAATTCTCGAGTCATAGAACCCTCTATTAACGATTTGAAAATCGCTTTCATCGCTGTAAACTAATACTTTTATCCAATATGAAATGAGATGTACATGTAGTTTATTATATTTATTATTCTATTAAAAAAATTGAATAAGCCCATATAATTTTAATTCTGTGTCAATTATTGAGATAATAGATATTTTTTTGAAGTTAAAAAATTATATAAGAGATTTTGGAAGGGAGAAGTCGTAATTGATGAGGTTAAATTATTTACAAGAAAGCAGTAAATTAAAATTAGAAATGAAGTGGTAGCTCAACAACCTTGTGAACTCACATCCTCTCCATAACAGAACCGACTTAATAAATCCATCTAATCACACGCACTCGGACAGAGATAGAGGGAGGGAGAAACAATAACAAATAAATAAATAAATAAATAAATAAATAGGGAGAAAAAGGGAAGGGGTAAAAAAGGGATAATTATTGGGATGAGTTAGAGAGGAGGAGGAAGGACGGAAGGAAGGGCAAATTTGGAAATTGAAGGTATCGTTAAAATTACAAACACATTGTCGGGGGAGAGTCACATGCGAACAATAAAGAACAGAGCAAAGCAATAATGAATAAGAACAAACATGGAAGAAGCTGAGACTAATTTCAATTTTCAACTTAATTCTCCAACAATTCCAGCACATTTTAATTCAACACAGCGATTAGGCCATTTCGTGATCATAGACATAATCATGATCATCATATTTTTCCCACATCCCCCACTTGATCTCATCGGACGCATCATTTCACGTGAACATTAGTCACCACAGCACACACACACAGATTGATAGAACTAAACAAACATATAATCAAATCAACCACTTATCTCTTTTTTCCGCCTCCTTTTCGATAACGCTGGCGATTTAGCCGCCGGTGCGCTGGTTAAGCAGATCGAACGAACTCCTCGGCGTTCTCGGAAGATACACGATGGATTCCGAAACGCTGCAGGTCCGTTTGCAAGAAGAGTATAGATTCATGAATCCGAATCGGTCGCTCAGGCTTCTAGAAACCGTCTTGCCATTGCTGTCGCCCCTCCAGAGCTCGGTGGCGGCGGCAGGTTCCTTAGAGCACTCTATGAAGGCGTCGAAGAAAGGATCACGCTGCGAATAATGGCAGTTCGATTTCCTCCAATCTTGAAATCCTAAGCGCTTTGACGAGGGTTGGGTGGAGGAATTGGGAGGTAAGGGGAGGAGAGAGGACAGAGGAGAGGCGGAATCCCGCCGGAGCCTTGCTGGAGACTGTTTCTTGGGGATTCCAGGCAAATGTTCCCAAGAGAAGGGAATACTGCCGGAGAATGTTCGGACCGGAGTGGCGGCGGCGGAGAACGGAGAGTTGTTGGGAAAATAGCAAGAGCCACGGGAGGAAGAGGAGGAGGAGGAGGAGGAGGAGGAGGAGGAGGAGGAGGCGGAAGAGGAAGAAGAAGAAGAGGAAGAAGAGAAGGAATGAGAGCGGCGGGAAGATTGAAACATCGTCTCTTTTCTCACCGAGACTTCACATTCTTTTTTCTAGAGAATTTGGGAATCGGGATTGGCTTTTTGGGCACACAAAACCACTCCAAGTTTCTAAGAGATTCATTTCTTAGATACATATACATATATATACACAAAAATGTGAATTATTATTATCATCATTATTTAATGTAAGAAAAAGGGAAACCCACGGGAAGTGGAGAGATAAAGTTTTCATTTAATAAGAAAAGGATCTTTTTGTGGTCTGGAACGTGATCAAGTTTTGGGGTCTTTTTTTTCTTCCAAAATAAGCATTCTTTTAATTTTAATAAAATAATAATCTCCTTTTCTCCATCTTGTTTGTCAACGCTTGTTTATGTTTTAAGTTTCATCTAATTCAAATTAATTATTTTTAATTCTCAAAACTTTCAATACTACAAAACCAATTACAATTTTTTATTTTCAGATCTAATAAAAATTCTTAAAAACACATAGAAGGTGGCTGTAAATAGGTTGTTGACATGCAATGAAAAGGAGATTATGAATATAAAGATGGAAGGCCTAAGAAGGAGTTGGTGTTGAGATTAGAGGACCAAACATGATTTGAAGTGTAAGGATTATTGGTTAAAATTTCCAAAATTGTAAAAAAGAGGAATTATTGGGGCATCTCATGTATTTGATGTCATTGAAAGAGGCATCCAATATCATGATATACCCAATTAAACACATTAAATTCCTTACTTAAAACAATCCAAGACAACAAATAAAAGATTTGGATCTAATAATTAATTCTTTTTGCCGTATTGACATTTTTATCAATCAATTAAACTCTCGATGAGATGGGGGAGTAAATGGCATAATTAATAACCGAGAGGGAGAGAGATTTAGCCACTAACTCATAAGCCACGTGCCACATTCATATTGGCTGGGAGTCCACGGTTACCGTCTGGCCTTTAACGTTTCCTGCATTCCCGCCCACAAAATTCTTTCAATTACTTCTTTTTTCCGTTAAATAAAAAGAGAGAAGAAAAAGGGATTTTTTCAAAATACAGAGGTCAAAAGGTTTCATTGAGATTGAGAATTGTCAAAAAAAAAAAAAAAAAAAAAAAAAAAAAAAAAAAAAAAAAAAAAAAAAAAAAAAAAAAAAA